GTTCGTTCTGTGCTGGGGGGGGGGGGAACTCCACTTCCTAAGGGATGTCCTTATCTAGCTGCAAACAGAAATTTCCTGGAGTGGCTTTCAGATTGTTTTGGGCACTCTTTGCAGCTATTTGAGGTAAGAACAATGGGGAAAAAGAGTCTTGTTTTATTCTGTAAATATGCAAAGGCATAAACAGTTCCATGTGCTCATTCACGGTGCTCTGGTGCTGGCATAGGGCAGAAGCTCTAATCTGGATGCAGCCCAACTTGTCCCATTTCATGCAGTTTTCATTGTTAACAATTTAACATTTGCTTCAGTGTGAGTGGGGTAAGTGCAGATATGGATGCTGTCTGTTTCACCAAGTCGTGGAATGATGGGCTTCATCCTGGCACAGTAAATGCAGCCAGGGTATGGATGGGGCTGTGCCTGGCTTCTATCTGCATTTTCAGGCACAAGCCCAGCTGAGCTTCCCAAAACCACTCTCCAAATCTCCAAGCACTACTGTGACACCAGTGGATGCAGATGGTGACATCTTGGTGCACTGCTCCTGCCAGACCTTCACTTCTCAGCTGTTAGATGTGGATTTGGGACCACATGGGGTCATGTCCCAGGGCAGGGCCATTATCTCCAAGCCCTAATGCTGAAAGTAAAGCTGATGTGACATTCCCATTCCCTGCTTGGAATAAGGGATGGTGTAGGCAGTGGTTGGTGCTGGTAGCGCAGGGGGACATGGAGACAGTAGGGTCCTTGTCAAAGAGTGATGAAACCTTAGCCAAGGAGAAGCTTCTCATCCTCCATCCAGCTTCTTTATCCGTGTCACCATAAATCCCTTAGCAAGCCCTTGACTTCTGAGTGATGTTCACCCTCTCCCAAGGCTCAGCAGCATGCGTCTCAGTTTCTAGTTCATGGTTGGGGTGCCATCAAAGAGCTGCAGGCAGAGAAGAGTTTGCAGCCAGCAGGGGCTCAGCTGGAGTAACTCAAGAAGCAGCCTCCCACCTGTTCCTGGCCAGAGGTTAGGGCAGGACATGTGCAGAACCCATCACGTAGCCCCAGCAGCACTTCCCCTGGGCACGTTTTGGTGGCAGGGTGATACAGAGCGCGAGGCTGCGATAGGTTTGTTTGCCATGAAATGCAGATACACCCCTGTGTTTGAAGCAAAGGTGACATTGCTACCCAGAAGGACTTCAGATTCTGATATCTGATCTGCTGGCTCATTGATTCTTTTCATTGTCTGGTTTGTGTTGAATTCAGCAGTTCAGCTTGAAGAGGAGATCACTCATTTGGAAGATTATGATGATGGTGTTCCTCTTCCAAGAGCCCTTTGTGCTTATCACAGTTTTGATCAGACAGCACTGACATGCATCGCTGGAGGTAGGTTATACATTTGGCAAGGAAGGCAGAAGATATTGTAAAACTTAATTTTATCTGCTTGTTGTAGGGTGGGGCTTTTGTCGCTCTTGAGGCTCTGCCACACAAAGGTGGAGAGGATGTGAGATGTGATAACATTGCCAGTGGTGCAGAGCACATCACCTGCTTGGGACCAACAGCTGGCATGGACCTCTGCTTGCTGCCCGTGGGGATTGGGCAGGTTATTGTCAAATGGTTTCAAACAGATGAAATGGTTCAGGAAGTGGCAACTGATGATTTCATCATCCCCCGTGTGAGCTGGTGTTGGACTTGATGGCACTTCCTTGCCTTGCAGGTGTCACTGTGGGGTACTGGGACCCTGCTTGGCACTGAAATTTGCCCTTTTTATTTCCTGCCATTGTCCAGTTCCCCTGCACTCCTTTCTCCCTCTGCTCACAATCTCATTTTTGTTTCCCTGCAATAAGAATCATGGACGATGGCACTGGTGCTGTCTTATGGCACAATGAGGACTTGGTTCAGCTGCTCTCAGCCTTTTCTGAATGTGGAAAGTGCAAAACAAATACATAATAAATCTTCCTGGTTATGTCTTGGGACAGCTTGTGGCAACCAAGCCTCTTCACATCAGGTCCCTGTCCCTCTGCTTTACCCCAGAGCTCCACTTCACAGCTCCCCCTCAAGCACCTAGAGCACATGCCTCAAAAGCCAGATATCACTGCTGTATTTAAGCAGCAAACTCAATCTGATCATATAGCTGTAACCACTTGGAGGTGTGCGGGGTGGTTTTTTTTCCCTGGTGACTTTCCCACAGGGTTTCTCTCCACGATTGCTCTCGTTACTCAGCGGTTGTTATTGTTCAGGTCCCCATCATCTGACCCGTTATAATCCCCATATTGCATTACAGGGATTGCTGCACATTCTTGGTGTATGCCTCTGTTGGTCAATTTTAGACTGCCCCATCGAGCTTATGAGTTTCTTAAAAGCAATGCATGGTTATGTTACACAGGCACATTCTCTGACTGTTTTCCACTTAATGCCTTGGCACTGGGAAATGGCATGCATCAGTAGCAAAGGGAAATAAATATGTGGGTTTTATTAGCAAAAAAATGACAGCCAGCATTATAGAAATTCCTCTCAAGTATTTGGCATCAGCACGTGTGCCTTAAATACAGAATAAATTTGAGGCACTTGAAGCATGGCTTGATGGCCTGCTTAGTGTCAAGTCATGACACAGGAGTCAACTCCTCTCGATAGTTAAAAACTTGCCAACCCTTTTGCTTTCGAGACAGATAGGCTGGAAGGCTAGAAAAACGTGCACAAAAGAGAAAAGCCATTTATGTAGAACCATCCTAAGTTTCATGCAAGAATCCATCTGCATATAAGTGCTTGTCTTAGGAACAGAAAAGAAGAACTACGAATTGTTCATTAGAAGTGCAGTCGTCTTTTTTTTTTCTATCAGCACAGTAAGAGTTCATTCCCTTTATTTAACACCTCTTACATCCCTACATCTCATGCAGTAGCTCATTAGTGCTGGGAATCCCAAGCAAGTGTCAAATTGGCATGAAATAATGAGTGCTACTGTTGGAAGTGTCTTTCCTCTTTCATCCATTGTGATGGCATTAGGGAGGATTTTGGACAGCTCTCACGGAAATGTCTGCAAAATGTTATTGGGAAGAGGAGTTGGGTTCTGCCTTGGAAAGAACTTCTAGATTTGGTCTTAAGAATGGTTTCAGCCCGAAGGGTTGCCTTAACGTGCTGTTTCCAGTACACCAAAACACTAAGCAACGTGTTAGAAAAGGAAGTGGATCCCGTACTCAATGTAATTTATGGAGGAGACCTAAAGTAGGCAAAATGTGATACCCACTTTGGAAATCTGTGGGATTAGCACCTGTGCCACTGGGAGAGGTGTCACTGGGCAGCCTTTGCCCTGTGCCCATGGAGAAGGCACTGCTCCCAGAGGTGTAGTGTTTCCTAGCAGCAGTATTGACAAATGATATATTTCTACTTAGAAGAAAGCTTGCTTTTTAAATCCCTATCAGTGTTCTCAGTATCCCTGTTTTCCATCTCGAGAGGCCTTCATGGGCTGACCCTACTTAACTCAGCAGATCTGGCAAGACCAGGGCCCAAGATGGGCCTGGCTGCAGATGGTGGAAATACAAGAAGGTGGCCAGGGACTTTATTTACAGTCAAGAAATTAGCAAGCGATTTGTAACCACTGAATAGACAGCTTCTGTGACCCAAACAGCATCGTTTGGGTGAATAACATACCGGCTACTGGAGCGCATTGATTTATTTGATAACATCAGGAAACCATTTATGGACTCTATTATGGACAGCATTTGCTGGAGGTTAGAGCTGCAGAGCAGATAGATTGATGTGTGGGTCTGCTGTTGTGCTTGCTACTGCATAATATAAAATAAGGATGGCCCCTGAAATACCGAAGGGGCAAACAGAAGCGTTATGTACTTGGCTTGATTTATTTTTATTTTTACATTTGCCATTTATTTGATTCTTAAATTTTTGAATTCTTCGCAGTGGTGTACCAACCTGTGGTTTATGGCTTTTTAATTGGACACCATGGTTCTTGTTACAGAACTCATCAGCAAGAGGCCCCATCTCACAGACGTGGTTTTTCTGATGACAGAGTCCAGTAGAACACAACTGGGACTGGGCTCCAACCCACTGGGACTTGGGTTTCACAACTTCTCACCTGTGGCTTCTTTCCGATGAAAGATGCTTTCACAGTTATAAGCTGAGGACTGGACTTGATGGCCTCTGAAATGACAATTTGAAGTAGGAAAAGGATGAACCTGAGTTGCGTTTTTCAGCCAATATCTGGTGACAATATGAGTAACATCCATGACAGAGAGAGGCCGGTGGGGATGTATGTAGTGGGGCACTGCATTGCTCCTGGGCAGGATGTGATGTGCTGGGGAACACTCACTATTAGGAGAGGGGATGGACTCGGCCTCAACTGAATGTGATGTGTTTTGTGTTGACCACTGGCTGCCTCTGCCCATCTCAGGAGCTTTGTCTTACCGGGATCTAGCACTTGGGAAAGCCTGTAGGTCATGTAGCAGGTGACCTTGCATCAGTCCCCCTGCAATTTTCAGGTTTTAGGATCTCACTAAAGGTGGTGAAATCCCCCTGCTGTCCTCAGTCCTGTTTTTGAGACACCTGGATGTAATGGATACAGACACCTCATGTAATTATACAAAAAAATAATTTCAATACAGAGCTCCCCCAGGCACCTTGCAGGTAGCATCAATTCCACCCATGGGCTGGGGGAAATCCATGCACAGAAAGTAGCACTGAAGTCCCCTAGAAAATGACCATCTCCTCTGGATCTCAATGGGGGACGCACCAGCTGCACTGAAATGTCAGAAGGGTTTGCACAGCTGACACGTTGCTGAAAATGGAGCATGGCAGCATCTCCATAAATTCTCTTTATCCAGCCAAGTGCAGCTTAATATAGACTTAGAGGTGCTGCCCGTCTGCTGCACTGCGACCGAGAGCTGCCGCCGCTCATGACCAAAAGACAAAGTCATCGATTTAACCCAATGAGCTACTGCTAGGGGGGAAAAATCCCAAATTTATCTTTCTCTTTAGTTTTATAAAGTAACAGGGGAAGGAGGGAACGAGCAAAAATGTCTGAACTCGGCCAAACGTCTGACGAAGATGTGTCCCCCGAGGACATCAACGAAGATGAAATCCTGGCCAACCTCTCCCCTGAGGAGCTGAAGGAGCTGCAGAGCGAGATGGAGGTGATGGCCCCTGACCCTGAGCTCCCCACAGGAATGATACAGAGGGATCAGACAGAGAAGCCCCCAACGGGCAGCTTTGACCACCGCTCCCTAGTGGACTACCTGTACTGGCAAAAGGCGTCCCGGCGCATGCTTGAGGATGAGAGAGTTCCTGTCACCCTCCTGCCCTCTGAGGTAACCAGCAAAAAATCACACCTATCTTTTGTGTATCTGCTATGGGATCTGTTTTGTAGTTGCAGTACTGTGTGTCTGCTATGGGATCTGTTTTGTAGTTGCAATACCTTAATCTACCTCTGCTTCTATTCTTTGTTAGAATGGTACAGTACAAGCCATGAGTTTAAATGGCTTAAAAGCCTCATTAATGTCAGGATCCAGCTTGGACTGGTATAAAAGTTTATATTTAGATGTTTTCCTAAATCTTTATTTGTGGTTTTCAGCAGAAGAATATCCTAATGCTGTTTCAATAAAGCAAACCACTGAGAAACTCTCAGAAAATCAATCTGGAGGATATAAGACATCGGTTTGGCTTTGCACATTGATTGACATCATATTGCTTTTCCATGGAGCACTTATTTTAATGAGTATGTTCAGTGTAATCATCGGCAGAATTTAATGTCACGTTGGGGGGAAAAATCCTACAGACCATTTTTTCAATGTGAACATACAAAAACAGTTTGCAGGCATGCAAACTCCATGAACTGGTCCCATCCTTTTCAATGCAGTCCTTAACTTTGTTGTACTATCCATATAATTTGAATAGAGGCTAAGGCCACACTTGGGTATTTGTCAGTGTTTTGTGGCACTTGACAAGGAAATGATAAAAATAACACCAAATCCAGAAGTAGATTAGGATCAGAGTTCCTTAATCCCCAGAAGGGTTTCAGGACCACCTTAATGTAGCATTAAATCCATCCAGGATTTATTGGTCAATGTTCTTAAAGGGCAAAGATGAAAAATTTGCCTACAGCCACTTTCAGAGCAATCGTCCTTTCGTTCCATACCAATCCAGCACACTGACTTTCAGGCAATGGCACTTTTCAGTGTTGTTATTCTATAGTGGACACAGAGGTATGAAAATACTGCCATTTCATTATTTTAGCACAAGGTTAATGTTATTTTGCCTGTTTCTGTCTCCTGCAGAGAATGACTGCAGAGGAGATGGGAGACGGTGGTGGCAGGAGGGGGCCTGAGGCTGATGGGAAAGAGCGGCACTACAAAAATGAGAGCGTGTCACACGCAGTAACACAGCCTGGGGAGATGAACAGAGATGGAAGCAATGAGGAGAGAGAGGAGGAGGAGGAAGAGGAAGAGGACGAAAGTGAAGAGGAGGAAGATGAGAGTGAGTCAGAAACAAAGGAAACTTGTGTTAATGAAAACCATCACAGTGATCAAACAAGCAAGCAACCAGGTACGGAATCAGGGGAAACCACAGAAAAGTCAGATGAAAATGAAAAGAAAATCTCAAAATTGAACATCCCCAAAAAGTTAGCACTGGATACCAGCTTCATGAAGCTCAGTGCCAGGCCATCAGGAAATCAAACCAACTTAGAAGAGAGCTTGGAGAAAGTCCGAAAAAACAATCCAGAGATGAAGGAGCTCAACCTGAACAACATAGAGAACATCCCCAAAGAAATGCTGATAGACTTTGTCAATGCGATGAAGAAGAATAAGAACATAAAAACGTTCAGCTTGGCCAACGTGGGAGCCGATGACAGTGTTGCATTTGCACTGGCCAATATGCTGCGTGAAAACAGGAGCATCACCACGCTCAACATCGACTCCAACTTCATCTCTGGGAAGGGCGTTGTGGCCATCATGAGGTGCCTGCAGTACAACGAGATGCTGACAGAGTTCCGCTTCCACAACCAGAGGAGCATGCTGGGCCACCAGGCCGAGATGGAGATCGCCAGGCTGCTGAAAGCCAACAACACCCTGTTGAAAATGGGCTACCACTTCGAGCTGCCAGGGCCCAGGATGGTGGTGACCAACCTGCTGAGCAGGAACCTGGATAAGCAGAGGCAGAAGAGGCAGGAAGGGCAAAGGCAGCAGCAAATGAAAGAGCAGAGAGAGCTAATCACCATGCTGGAGAACGGACTGGGCTTGCCACCTGGGATGTGGGAGATGCTGGGGGGGCCGCTGTCCCAGCCCAGGCCACAGGAAGCTCCCCCAGCACCCAAACCACCCATCCCCACCTCAGCGCCTCAGGGACGGGGGAAGGAAAGCACACGACCTGCAGCTCCTGAGCAGCCGCGTGGGGCTGAGCCCAGTTTCAGGGTGATCAAGCTGAAGAAGATCCAGCGCAAACCCGCTGTGCCCAAGTATGTAGAGCCCACTGAGAAAACCAACCTCAAGGATGTGATCAAGACCCTGAAGCCGATCCCGAGGAGAAGGCCCCCTCCTCTCGTCGAGATAACACCACGAGATCAGCTGCTGAATGACATTCGTCAGAGCAACGTCGCGTACCTCAAACCGGTGAGTGTTTAGCAGAGGAGGGGATTGTGTTCTAGAGCTGCTATTTTCATAGAATCATTAAAGTTGGGAAAGACCTCTAAGATCACCAAGTCCAACCCCAACCCACCCCCCACTGTGCCCGCTGATCACATCCCTCAGTGCCAAATCTCCACGGTTCTTGAACAACTCCAGAGATGGTGAGGCACCCCCACCTTCCTGGGCAGGCTGTGCCACTGCATCACTGCTCTTTCTGAGATTTTTGCTAACATCAAACCTGAACCTCTCCTGGTCCATCTTAAAGCCATTTCCTCTCATCCTAGGCTTTACCCATCAGCACAACGATGGGACTTCCAAGCACATCCCTAGCTGTGTGCAGTTATTCTATGGCATCCACTGGGGGGATGCCCCAGCATCACCAGAGCCCCACTGCCTTCTTGGCTTTTATTTTGCGCCATCATAGGGCAAAAGTAATTAGTGAAATCCCAATGATAGGTGTGGGATTTTAACCTTTTGTTCCACAGTAATAAAGGTAAATAAAAAGGAAATTCTGCTGGGGGCAGACAAACTCAGAGGAACTCAATGCTAATGTGCTGGTAATAATATATTAATTACTATAATATGCAAATGCTCTTATAAGATCGGGGATACAACAGGCTTTTTTCCACAGAATTCATTTAATCTGTCCTTAGGTCCCCATTAAAAAAACATGCTGAAGCCCTGCTATTGTTATTATTTTCTATAGCAGTGATGGTGCAAAGACCCCCTACAATCTATTTTCCATGGGTCTGAGCCTGCACCTTACATTTTGAATTATAACAGCAGGATGGGTAAAAGATGCTTTTTCTTGGTTGCCTACGTACGATTTTAGAGCTGCATAAAAGCATCTCAGGTAAAATAGTTAATCCTGTGCTCTACTGATTTTCTAAAAAAATGTACAAATTATGGATTTGGGTTTTGTTGCTCATTCTTATTCTGTTTTAAGAAGTCGCTAAGATGCTGGAAGGAGAATCAGGGGCCAAATTCACCCAAGGCACCTGAAGGTGTCTGTGCTGGTGCACACAGAGCCTGGTGACCTGATGATGGGAACCATTGCCCCAGGAAGCTTCTGATTTTTTGGCTTCCCTATAACATTGCATTACTTTGCATTGCACCTTTATTCAAGGAAAATTGAAAGCATTTCAAAATGTGTGTAGCTAGTGATGTTGATGCCTCTGTTTGTGTTGCTAAGTTCTGAGGAAGAGGAGAGAAAATCCTTTGCAAATAGAAATGATCAATAGTATTTCGTAATTAATATGTTGCTTAATATTGACCCTTTTATACAGTGGGGGACACTTTGCTTTCATTTGTCTGCACAGAAGTAACTATTCCCTCAGTAATTTCAGGCAGTGTCTTGTCCTGAAATATCAGAAGGGATCAGCCCTGCAGTGACCTTGAACCCTAATGGCTTTCTATTGGCACAGCCCTAATCCACACCCTCCCCCCACCCAAAATCCCAGACAGACGTTAACAGCCAAGGGCTGTGGGATTTGTTGCTGTTTGCTCTCCCAGAGCTGCTCTTTGTCTGAGCTTGGGAGCCATGTCCGGATGCTTGGGTAACCCGGAAAGATAAAACAAAGGACACTTGTGCTGATTTTTGTTGATCCACCTAGTATCAGGCCAAATGGCTTGGATTTAGGGCATCGGGGTTTTATTCTTATCTGCTCATGTGATTTTGGTAACTGCTTTTCTGCCTTGATATCCTCAGCTCTGCTATGTTTTACTGCCTGAGCCAACCTGGGTGTCCTTGCTCTCTTTCTGGGGGGAGGCTCATTGCTTGCAAAGTGATCTACTGGGCATTAAGCATCACAGACTGCAAGTGGGGAAGTGCAGACAGACCCGAATTCTTGATTGAACTCCTTGATGCTCCTTGCCGTTATGTTTCTGATCCTTTCACAGTTTCTGAAGGTTTGTATGTTTATGTTGAACTAAACTGCTTTGAGAAATTGCCTTTCCTTACAGTGTTTTTTATCCTTGTCCAGGTGCCATTACCAAAGCAGTTGGAGTGAGAGACCCAAAGAAAACAACTTGGAGCAAAGACTGTTCAACTTTTGCTTACAGTTGTTTCAGCAGAAGTTTTCTGCAGAACCCAGGTGGTGTATGTGACTCTTTGGGAACAAAGCTTGCAATATGCACTTCTCTCAGTGTGATGAAAAAGGCTGGCACGGGAAAAATCAGCACTAAGAGTTTCCATCAGGTATCAAAATCCCAGTGCCATCTGTCTGCCAAATGGATTCAAGGCTCCAGTTTGTTGTGGGAGGATTTCCTCAGAGACATCAATAACCTTAAGTCTTTCTAGTTTGTCAGTAAACTATTTTGCTTCCATGTTGTCCTTCTGCTGTCCAATTCTGCAGGAACACGCTGTGCTTTAGCTTATCTTTCTTTTCACACACATGCTCCTTGATTATTCTCTTGTCCATAAGAAAAACATTTGGTTTCTATGTAAACAGCTTTATTTTTTAGGCTAAGGAAATGAATGAAATAAAAGCTTTCTCCATAAAAAATGTGCAGCACATCCATGGCTTGTAAGAAGCTTGCAGAACAGAATGCACTCTGCTGCATTCATATTTCAAGCCAGTGTATTTCCTAACAGTCCAGCTGGTCTCATACCTGACCAGCATGTAAAAGATGATGCCATGCTGTTCAGAGAGCTGTAATCTTAATTCCACGTAATTCACCCCTGGATCAGGCTCCACACCACCCCCATCTTGGGGTGCACCAAAACGCCGTTGCCAACCTCTCTCATGCTGCTCTCAAGCATCTGGAGGATGAGCCCTAACCCTCTCTCTGTAACTTGAAAAGCTTATTTTTACTTTAATACTGTTGTGACATTTTTTTCTCCTCCCCTTTTTTAATCGCATCAGATGGTTTTGCTGCAAGACTTTTCTACAGCAGCTACAAGTCATTTTCCTGTGGAATACAGCCATATGAGATCAGCTTTTTCTCTTTTTTTTTCTTTCTTTTTTCCCCTGAGCTGCTGGAAGCTATAAAGATTATTCCTGTAAAATCACCCTTGATCCACTCCTCTCCTCCCAGCCAAGCCTTCCCCTTTGCTAACATTCACCTCCTCTGCCTTCCTGTGGCTGATCCACTCGCTCAGTACGCCTACTTTGCAGCTCGTGGCAGCCCTTCCTGCAGGTCAGTCTCTCCTTGCTGCCTACGACTGTTTGCAATGGTTCTCTGGCAGCTAAATCCTAGTGCTGCCCAGGGCATGGCTCCCAGTAACCTTAGAAGCAGGCAGAAATCCCTCCCAGGTAATTAGAAGAAATGTAAAATCGCAGTTAAGCAGTTACATAAGAGACTGAAACAACGTGAACAAATGCTTACATGTTGCACTTCTGCAGACAGGCTTTTGTAAGGATGCAAGAGTGAGGCTGCACCATTCCTGCAGCTCACAAACAGCTCTCTCATGACTCAGCAGCATGAATAGAGACAGCAATCAAAACCAGAATTCATCACAAGCACTGTCTCATGGCATGAGTGGTAGGGTGACCACAGCTGTCCCACCACCACCTCACTGAGGTCACCAGCTGTGAAGACATCCACAAGCTGAGGTTAGAGTCACATTTCCCAACCTGAAAGAAATACACTCAGTAATCACCATTAGAGTTTATTTTTCTTCATAACTGTGCAGTTTTTTAAAATTCTACAGTAATGATGAAGTCATAGGCTACTACTTTTAAGTGTGGAAACAGTTTTCAGAAACAAAGACCATGCGCTACATGTGAGGAACAGGCCATTGACTCTCCAGCTGGAATTATTTTCAATAAATACTGATCACTTTAACACTTAAATGGAATGACGTGTTCAGATTTCTACACAGCTCACTATGAAAACAGCATGGTAAGTTACATAAAAGCTTCAACCGTAAGGATGTTTGCTTTATTGTTATACTAATTACTTTGTTAGAAAAAGAGAAATGCAAGAATATTTTAATGGAGTGTCACCTGGACAACGTTTTTTCCCATTATATTCTGCAAGCTGCTATTAGCAAGACAATTCCATCAGAGCTGGTAATTAAGTTAAAATATATATAAAAGAATCCCACACATCACTGTCAGGAGTTGTTACAGGCAAGTGTCCGTATGAATTTGGAATGGGTATTCAATAACTGTATCTTGACATTTATTGCTTTTACTCATAAACCTGAAACCCAGTTCATTCTTTTGAAGACTGTCAGCACTAAAGTCAGTGAAGTGCGAATTTTACTTCTATGTTTGCATTCTGCTTAAGGAAAAAACCCAAACAAAGCACACATGAAAACACACATACACCTTCATCTACAAAACAGCTGATACAGAATAAAGCAGAACAAGGTAAGTCCTAAAGTAGCAGTGTTTAAAAACATCAATAGGGTAGAAATGTAACTCATCTAGCTTATCCAAAAACTTTTTTCCTCCCATGTTTGGGTTTAGTTACATGAGGAAGTTCTGCCTCTCTTGCAGAGAAGAGCAACTTCTAGAGATCAACAGAATGAAGATTTCAGGGAGCACAAAGGTATGTTTCATTGGAACTGAGAGGCACGGTGCCATATATACTCTTCATGCTTAGATCTATTTAGACTGTTCCCCAGCTACCAAAGGAGGAATGTGAGGTGAGGACAGAACCCATATTGGTTACAGGTATTGCACAGTTTTACCACTTGCCAGTTAGGCTAGCAATGTGGTCTCAATACAAGACCACTGGAGTTAGGGGTTTAGAGGATGCAAGAGATACATACTTTCAATACATTCCAGCTCACCTTGAAGACTGCCAGCATGAGGGTGCTACACAGCATAACAAACTGGCTAAACTGCCATCTTGGAGAACTGAGATGAAAGGAGTGTTACTCTCACTAACAGACAAATTTGTTGCAAGACATTTAAGAGACTGCATTCTGTAGGTTTCCATCTCTTCTCCCTTTATCCCCCCAGGAAGAAGAGACAAGCAAATATGTTTAAGTCGGTATTTGTGTAAACACCAGAACATTTAATTATACAACAAAAAAAGTTACTCTTTTAATATTCATAGAGGAGCCCTGAATTCCTTGGAATACTGTATCCTGCAATTATTAATCTGTACCACACGTGCATTTCTTGTTTTGTACACAAACTGAAAGCAAGCTTGAACAATAGTAAATAGCAATTACACTCTTGCAACAGGTAAAAACACCACATTGCAGTTGCTTACTCCTTTACTTTAGATATGTAGTCAGCCAGTTTGTTGATACTATCTTCCTGCTGTTCTAGAGCATCCAGTATGATACCCATTGGGGTCTTCTTCAAACCTATTTCTTCCTTTTTGTTCTCCAGCTTGTTCTTTATGCTCCGGAGCCTCAGAGAAGCATGGATAAACATCACTGCACAACAAAAACACGTTTATTAATCAGTAATGCCCAATGAATGCATCACCTGGAAGAAGATCTCTGAATGACTGCTTCAGTAACTGCAAGTATCTATTTAATAATAATAATACTCAAGATGACTTGTGATGTTTTACGTGCTCCCTTCCCCCAGTCTTGATTTTGCTTTGAGAGAACTTAAATAGAGAGTACAGCCATTAGCTGATTTAGTCTCTCGTGACTTATTTGAGAAAGCTCAGTTCAGCCCTCAGAGATAGCAAAAATACTTACAGAGGAGAGGAAGAGTGATTCCGAACATGAACACCATGACATCTCCCAAGTAGGAGATCAAGAAGTAGCTAGACAGCATGATGACTATCACAAATGTGGTTGGGTACTGCTTCTTCATCCTGCGAAGTATATCCTTGTTGTGTGACACCCACACAAACCCCAGGAACACCAGGACCACCACGGTACCACCAATGAGCATATTCAGAGGACTCAGAAATCTGGAGAAAACAGGTGAGAAAAAAGAAGAAAAAAAAATAAGAGACAAGGAAGTTTGTTTCAGAGCTTTTGTGAACTGTGTCCATGCAGCAAACATCCAGCTTGCTGGTATCTTTACTGCTAGGTAGATAAATAGCTATCTAAGTCATTAAGAAGTCAATTGCTGTTGCAAAAGTCTTTACTGACTTCTGATTTTTACCCCAAAGCAACTGAACAAGCAACCTTTAGCCATGAATTAGCATATTTAGATAATCTTTTTCTTTATGTTCTCTTCTTGAACATAGCTGAGGATAATGAGAATTTCTGCATCACATTAATAGACACATTTAGCACCAAACTGCCTCCCACCCAGGCTATCAATGCTTTTGCTTGACATCACACTCCAAGTCAACAAATCGCAACAGCTCACAGGCCCAATGATCAGTTACCCAAGGGGTCGATCTTCCTCCTGCACATTACCAAAACCAGGCTCAGCCTACACGTTCAGGTCAACTAGCTTTTATCATCTTGTCTGGATTTACAAAGGGCAAAACGTATGGGAAATGTTGAGTATAGAAAGTTACTTTACTGTTATTGCTTATGCCTTCGATGCTTACCAAATTTGGCATATGGTGTTTATGTCAAAATAAGCACGTGGAAGCAACTTACTGGCAATTTGCTATGGTAAGAAGGCAATGTCATTATGCCCAGCTACCTAAATTGCTTATAGTTATAGAAAAACTGCAGAAGATCTTAGAAAATAGCATAATACTGATACAAACTCTTACACTAATTCCCCTGCCAAACAAACATTAGATTCTGAGGTATCTTTAACTTAAACTGAAGTTATATTGTGTGGGTAGGTGACAGAAAAGGAAGATTTTTCCCCAGCAGGCATTACTCCTGAGAATACAGAACTGAAACAACTGGTAGAGCTTAGACTTTCAGCCCATTATTTCTTCTTTTAAGTGTATTTATATTTTGCTGTTCTGCATAGTGCTTTACCTCTGAATTATCCCTTTTCACGGTTTATACCTGACTAAGGTTATTTTATGAACCTGCAGGAACTTACCACCATCAGCACGACACACGGAAGCCCAGTCCCAAGCAAATGTGTCTGAGAGTCAGATGGAACTGGACACGTGGGGTAAAGGTCTTGCAGGAAGAAGAGCCAGGCCTGGCAAAGGGGCGACTGCTGAGGTTTGTGTTCTATTATTGTTATTGGAGTTACCAAGCAAACCAAGCCACCAAGTGGATCAGCTCTGGACTATAAACAGCAAGTCCCTTTTTGGGACCAGGATGAGAACATCACCTGCTCCCAAGTATTTAAGAGGTTGCTTTGTCCTCAGTTTTCACTGATGACTCTGCTTAGCTTGTTTCTGTACTTGTACAAAAGCCAGGCTCAACTATATTTTACTTCTACCGAAATAAGCTGTGTGATATCCTGTGCATTCTGATTTACTTGCTTGTATTTGCAAAGCCCCAATTACACAGCAGCTGAGCACTCTGAGCAGCTACCACAATGACAGCAGCATAACACTATTCCTGTAAAGCAGTAAAGATTTTCTGCCGTAGACCTTGTAGTCAGACTTACTGTTGTAAAGTCATGGGCGCAATGACTCACCACTCTACCCCAGTGCTGAGGATGCTATGGTTTGTGGTCTGTGCTTCATATCTGGCACAAGCTAAAGAAATCTCTTCCTGGACTGGCATGTCAACACTGTACCTGCAGTGCCAGAGAGCATTGCCCTAGAGAACAAAGAACCCCCAGAATGATTTCAGAGCCTGGCTCTAGACTCTGTAAGTCATTTGTGCCAGCAGGAGACAGGAGAACTGGACAGAAAGAGATTAGAATCCAAACTAGTTCCCCACCTGTTTCTGCTACTCATGCTGAAGAGCCAGCATGGCTATTTGGAAATGGCGATAGGGCAGACTTGCTTGTTGCATCTGAGTCACTCCCTGCAGCCAGCCAGATTATATTTAGCTCTGAATCGTCAATCCTAAGTTTCCAGGCTGGAAAAAGTGAACAGTACTGCTCTGGAAAGAAATTAGCTTCATCTGTATTCCATTGTAGCTAAAGGAGGGTGACTCGTGACTGCACTACACTAGTGTCCTGTTTATATACATACAACTGGACATATGAGATTCTTAAAGCAGAAATCATCTCAGCATTGCTGCTAGTTTGGAGTAGAAATGGCCAGACTTACTTGGATTGTTCCTAAAAAGGTACTGAAAAAATAATCCTGGAAGGAACAAAGGGCCAGGCAGAGCTCCATGCTCCATGCTCCAGGTGTCGGGTAAATATTCTCAAGGCTTTGTCTTCCCCATCCTTCCTCTCATTCTTGTTACAGCTTCAGAAACTGCTGGTGAAAAGCAATCCCCCTATGTTTGTAAGGAAAAGACTGCAGACTCTTCTGCTCTATGCTCTTCCTGGTATTACATGGGTTCTGTGTTACTGACTTGCTGTCAGGGATGTGAAGAAAAAAAAAATTCAAAAGATCCCATTTTCTTGGGGAGAGTTAATTGAATTACATGTTTTCTCAAGTGGGCTGCATTCCAATGCTTACAAGGAAACAGTGAACATAAGTATCAAATGAAGTCATTCAGAGCCACACAAAAACAGATGGGGGATAGCAGTTGCCACTAAAAACTGGTATTCAAATTATCAGCCATGTGTCCACAGGCTTCAATATTGTTGATTACAGTACTGGATAGGGTGTCACATGTTAAGCTCCCCTCCACTGTTTGAATCGCCAAAAGAGCAAAATTCACAGCACTACCTAGAATTCTCCTAGATATTTATATATAGATATCTCTTCTCCAGCAGTGGCATTTTTTCAGGAGGTCAGATCTCCATTATGCAGCTTCATTCAGATCTGCTGGCACGCTTCTCTCACTAGCACAACAGCTAAAGACTAAAAAGGAAAAAAACACAGGCGTATTTTTTTAGAACACATATCTGGGGGAAAATGAGAGCTGTATAGCAACCCTAGCAATCCTCTTACAGTTGAACCATCAGCACTGATATTGGCCACATTTACATACAGATCAAGACACAGTATAAAACATTCATGGTCAGGCAAATAGGCTGGGAGTCTTTCAAAGCTGCTGAGACAAGGTAAGTGGGCAGCCATTAAGCATGTTATAAGATACTTTCTAAAAATAATTCTCTTTAGGAGGGATTTGTAAGACTCCCAAATACTTAAAAATGTAATGCATGGAACTATTAGCATGGCAGTGTTGTGGTAACTTGATTTTGGGCTGCTCAAATATCTTAAGGGAAGAAATACTCTTTGGGAGCTAAGGAAAAAAACTGCTCTCTCTCATTACACTGAAAGGAGAAAGTATGGCAGGACAGAGCAACATTTGGTGTGCAAACAACCTTGAGCTCAGAGCCTCCTAACAGGATGCTCTACTTTATTGCTCCCTCTGGCAGACAAGATGCAGCCCTGGTAGGATGCTGCAGCCTTCAAAACAGCAGGAACAAACTGGCAAGGAAAACTGTCACCTGGATTTAGTGCCACTGGTGTCTCAGGACAACAGTAAGTACCTGCAGTTACTCGTCTGCTACTGTAATTGCTTTGATATAGAGTAAAAAGAGGGGTGAAAAAAAAAGAATAAATAGAAGAAACATTCTTTCTGTCTGCAGGCTCCAGGGACACAAACACTGTGCTGTGTCGACCAAGGCTTTGGGACACTGTATCAGTTGCAAGCCCTACCAGAAGATAGCAGAGGGGCTACTTACTGGTGTGGGAGGAGTACTGGTAACTATGTAGCTACATCTGACAGCAAAAACAGATTTTTTATTTTTTTAGTTTCCCGGATTCAGCCTCCCAGCAGCAGAGGTAACCACTAACTTGGAGAATTCACAGCTACAGCATAGGGAAAAAGAGCTAGACAAGACTCATCTTTTGCTCAAGGCAGAAAACCTCCAGCAGCACAAGCCCAGAAGTCCGCACACACTGGAAGCAGTGGGCAGGCAAGAGCACTTTCCTGCTTCCTTCCTCCTTTGTTTTAATCGAAACAACATTACAGACCAAGTTCTGCTTCTTCACTCCCCACACTTCTGGTTTGAGTGAGGTTACACAGCTCATCTGAAGTTAGCATGTAAGCCTATGAATAGTATGTTGTCCTCTGATTTGTCACTAACAAATCTGGACAGAGCCAGGTGACAGACCACAGCAGCCACAGGTTTAGCAAGGCTCCTTTACATACTGTTTCTCACTTAGGCTGCTTTCAGGACAGGAGTTGGAGTTCTTTCTGCAGAATTGCTGGATCTTTATGAAGTTTTTTATGTGTTTGTCCTTAAAATGAAGTTTTTATCCACTTCATGAAGTTACATAGCATTACATTGCAGCAGTAGGTTTTGGAGCAGTGTGTTGTACACTTCTGAGTATTTCATTAGGAATTACAGAAACTACAAATGAGCATTTTGCTGCTCTGCAATCCTTGTTCTCTTAAGGGAATTAACTACAAGGAAGTCAGCTCAGGCAGTGGTCTGGGGAGGAAAGAAAATAAAGAATTAAAAGAAAAACAAAAGGAAAAGACACCCACACACTTGTTCATTGCAGGGGTTGTGCAGATGGCCAGTAGATGTTTAAATGAGAAGAGTGCAAAACGAAAGCAACATTGAACTTCAGGCTCTGGAGAAGACACTGTGCCAAAGGATGCATCACTCTGAAACCCATTACACTTTTTCATACTATCACTTCTGCACATACTATTTTTTAGCAAATGCGAGGCACCACAAGCCTAAAAGAAACATCAGTTTAAGTAGTTAGTTTGAACTGCAAGACAGAGGAGCCTTATCAGACTAGGAGGAAGTACAGGCAAACACTGCTTACCAGGCAGACTGATTGGTTGTGGGCTGTTGGGAGTGCTGTGCAGATATTCTTAAACTTAGTGCTTCCCACAGTCATAGAATCACTCAGGTTGGAAAAGACCTCAAAGATCATTGAGACCAACCACGACCCAGCTATAAGAATCCTGCGCTCACAGTAAGGTATTCCATATCATACAGAGATGTGGAGATGGTGATATGTTGAAGAGGTCAGCTCTTGTCCAGGAGGCAGTACATTATCCATGGCAATAAGCACTGCTGCCCAGAGATTTCTTGATAGCGCAAGCACAGTTTCCATCTCAGCCCAGCATTTACCACAGCTACCATGCTATTACAGCAGCCAAAATATCATCTCTGCATTGAATGCCTGTCTGCATAATTAAGATGGCTTAAGAACAGGTAGAGTTGGTCATGGGCAAAGCTTAGTTTTGAACACAGAGACCACTGCACTAACGGTTTCAGTAATCCTGCCTGTAGGCCTACACACAGTCCTGGAGTTCCTAAAAAGCCATGATTCATCACTTATCACCCAGGCCCACTAGAGGGTAAAGTGCAAGATTGCATCTTAGTCATCAATGTAAATTTAATTGGGATGCCTTTCTTGGCCTTTCTCCCAAAGCTACAGTCCAGCCAACAGAAAAATCTTTTATTAAAAAGAAATGGATAGCTTTTCTTTATTGAAGTCCTATCCTGTTTCCTCTACAGTTCTTCTCCCATTCTTCTACTTCAACGTTGGAAGAAGCAAGTTTGCCACATATCAAAGGCTCTAAGATGTGCAATAAAACAAATTCACTCCAGGTTCTTCACATCTATAAATTTTCAGTATAGCAGGTTATTGTTTAATGCAAAGATACTAGAATTACAATTCTGGTATTAATCTCTGTCTTGTGTGGCTCTGCTCCCTACCACCACCTCAGCAAAATGGTGGGAAATAAATGGAAATGTATCACCATCCTTGATCTGATGTGAGATCAGAGAATAAAAGGGGGAAGGAATTTAGGAGTAAAAGCTGCTGCCATTCCAGTTTTCCAGATGAGGATAACAAAATTATTCACTTTTTTTCCCCCCAGCTTTTTGGGACAGACGGGCTGTACTCCTGCCTTCAAGGGTTGCTTTAATTTACCTTCTTATTTAGAACTGGCTATGGTATTGCACTGCTAAATAAAGGTAGATAAAGACAGAAGATTAGATTCTCTCTACAGTAAGAGTCTAGAAGTCTCTTTACTAGTCTAATGATCTGCTACTGAGTTGAGTACAGTGTATGGATCTCCACCAAAATTAAGAAAATCTTCCATGCCAAACCCTTAGCCGATACGCAGTAAAAAGAAGAGAAAAGCAGGGTTCTCAGCCTTTCCTTTCACAAAGCATGGGACAAAACTCCCTGAGCCCAGAGATTCTCCACTAACTCAGATGCTGGGTCAATAGCATCAGCAGCCCTAAAAAGTTACAGATTGCTTCATTAAAAAAAAAAAAAAAAAAAGGAGGAAAAATGTAAGCCTCTGCAACATATATGATAAGATAAAATCCTGCCAAAACCAATCTGGCCTAGTGGCCAGGCAATCCTCCAATTTAAGCATTTGCACATTATTTGCTGAGGAGCGTAGGAAATGTATTTCAAGTTTCCATTTTAAAAGCTCGATCATCACAGCCTCAGCTGCAACTCCTGACAAAGAGCTTCTAGATCTTAAAACAGTACTTAAAGAAGAGGCGCACAGGCTTTAATTCTAATAATGTTTAGCTTATTTCCCAATTCTCAATAGGGAAGATAGAGCTGACACGAGACATGAAGGTCTCAGTCTCACAAAAACGGATGGGTGCTGTGCTTATTTCATATTAAAGGCTTTTCAATCTGCGCTAGGTCAGGAATAAGAAAGGCTTGTTCTGTCCCCTCGGCATAGGCTTAAAGCTGTAACAGAGAGCAGAATTTATCTCCTTATTCGCTGGAATTCAGAGTGAAGTTTTATCTCAGCTCGACAGCCACGCCGGGCAGACTTGAGGCAGGAAGCAGTGATCGCCTCAGAGCAGCCAGCGACATCCTGCACCCACCGCTGCTTTCTGCCGGGCACCCCGAAAAGAGCCGGGCTCCTTCAGCTCGGGCAGCCCGTGGGAAACAAAAGGCAGCTCCCAGATTTGCCAACCAGGAATTAAAAAGCACGTCCTAAGCAAGCCAGCCCCCACCCAACACACAGCAAGGGCGGCCGGACGTTTGGGCACATCGCTACCGCGCTGCCCCTCACCCCGCAGCCCCACCGCCTCCGGCTCACTGACCCCACGATGGCGACGACGACGGCGGCCACCATCAGATAGTTGGTCTGGTAGTAGAGCAGGTTGTTGACCACCCTGTTGTTCCATTTCGAGATGTCCTTGAAGTCGGGCCGGGCGAAACGATCGGAACCGGGGAAGAAGTCCTCCCAGGAGCGCAGCGGAGCCACCTGCACCTCCATGGCTGCTGCCCCCGCCCAGCCGCCGCGCAGGCCTCGGCTTCGTGGTACCGCCCCGGGGCGGCTCCGGGCCGCGGGGAAATGGGAAAAGAGAGCCGGGCACGCAGCAATCAGCGCAACCGGCACGGCGTAGGGATGCCGCGGTGCTTTCGTCACCGGCCGGCTGTACCGTTCTGTTTGTTGGTTCTGCGCAAACGTCGCGCGTTTGGTGCGTGATGAGAAGTCGGGTTGCTGCGCCCTGAAAGCGGGGCGGCACGCGGGTGGTGGCGGGGCGTCTGCAGCCCGGGGCTGGCGGTGAGGACCCCGAATCCGGACAGCAGCTGCGATGATTCTAACTGCTCACACTAAAACATTTTCAGTGCCTTTACGCTTTGTTTCTCGTGGCTTGAACGCACACGCCTGGCACGGGTGTGTCCCGGCATGCCGGGTGTGGCTGTGATGTTTGTGGCAGCTTCTCAATCTGCAAAGCATTTGCATTCCTCAAAGTGCGCTCAGAGCCCGAGGCCACAGCCGCGATCTGCGCGAGCGCTGCGCGGCCGCTTCCCAGCTGCGCGCACAGACCGTGCGCAGCGTGCTTCTGCGCGCACCCCGACAGCAGAGAATACTTCATAGCACGATAGAGCTGATTGCTGGAGGCGAGCTCCATCTCCACAGTGCTTTGAGCGTAGGCTGTACCGCACTCTCGAGGACGCTCATCAACCCCTCCCCCCCCGCCCCATAACGGCGGCCATGGTCGCCCGCCGTGGCGGCGCACCGCCCATGATGGCGCCGCGCATGGCGGGAGCCCGGCGGCGCGCGGGGCATTGTGGGAAGCAGAGGGAAAAAATATGGCGGATGGTGAGGAACCGTAAGTGCCCTGTATGTGCGTGCTCGGCCGCCCCTTCCCCATGCTTCCCGGGGACGGGTGGGCCCTGGGGTCCCCTCTCCTTCCTCTCCGGTCTCTGTAGCGCGATACTGACCCTTCTTTTATTCTCTCTCTTTTAGGGAGAAGAAAAGAAGGAGGCTAGAGGAGCTGCTGGCGGATGGGTTAGTGCGGGGCTGCGGGCCGGCCCGGGGCAGGGACAGGGACAGGGAGAGCGGCAGGGGCAGGCAGCGCTTGTCGAAGGGCGGCTGGCAGTGAGGGGAGCCGCAGCCCCGCAGAGAGGTTGGGCCAGCGGGCGGCTCTGCTGTGAGGGCCGCAGAGAGGGGCTGTGGGAGCAAGAAGATTGAGGGGGTGAGAAGGAGCAAGGGGAAGGTGGAAGGGCGCTTGAGCAGCGAGGACTGGGGAAGAGGAATCTCCTGGGGAGAGGACCGAGGGGCTCACCCGCAGCGGGGGGCGGGTTGCGGGCTTGAAGCTTGGCATGATGGAGGCTGGTGTGCTGAGAGCTTTGTGGCAGGAGTGGGAGAGCTGCTGCTGGCCGGGACCCGGCAGGGCTGCTAGGCTAGGAGCGGGTGACTCAAAACTAGCTGAAAGTGGATATTTCAGTCTACAGAGCAGCTGCTTCTGCTTCTTAAAGCTTTACGTTCTGCGCAGCCTTGAAAACTAACATGCAGAAATCTCTGACCTCATCTGCTTCCATCCCTTGACTGTTCCCCTCCGTCTCCTTGTGGCTCTCTTCCCAAAGCTCCCAGAGCCGTATTGGGGTGAGGGTCACAGAAACCCTGAGGCATGTGGGCTGTGGGGTGCATGCCACGTCCTGCACAAGCATGGAGCGTTGGGTGTGCGAAGGTGGCAGGGAAAAGTGTGGGCCTGAAAGGACTGTGGTGCTCTGATGTTCTGAACAAAATCTGAAATGCAATGAAACGCACACAAGTTTTGTTAAAGTCTAATGACGTGAATGCTTGGTTGTGCTGTAACGACACAAGAATAAACCTGTCTCTGAAGCTAAACATAACACCTCGTGTTGAGTTGCTGGTGTTTTTCAGATCTCCACAATGTCCAACTCTGTAAAAACTGAGCTAACATATTTGCAAAAGTGAGACTAGGTCTTGCCATCTTAGCACTAAAAAGAAAAATTCACATCTAAACAGAGAAGTATAGCTGCTTAGTGGCTGTTTTTATGGCCTGTAAAGAAGGATTAAAGAATCAGTCACCAATCTTAACTTCTGTACTTGTTTCCAGAACAAAATAAAATCCGTAAAAGCAATTACTATGGTTTATATTCACCCATATTATGTTTGCAGAAGTTGTTTCATACAGATCCTGAAAATTGGTTTAAAACAGCTGAGACCGGAATTCAGTGGAGGAAGAGTTTTATTGTCTTCCTGCCTTCCTAAAATCTTACTTTGATGCAAATCCTCTATAAACTTAAGCTCTTTTTAAAGAATGTATTTAACTGCTAGGTTAACAGTCGACCAGGAAAGAGTCAGCAATCAAAATACAGGCAGAATCTGATATGTTTATTGTTGTTTTTCAGTTAAGTTTTTCTCCCATTACTGAAAACCTTTTGCAAAACTATGACCTAAAAGTTAAAGCCATCATACTGTTTTGTCCATCTTCTGAATTTTGTGAGGATCGAGAGATTCGCTATCTAGATGTGACCCAAGGAAGTAATAAATTCTAAACATTGATCAACAGTTATTGCTGTAAATTCTCTTCGTATTTCTTCATAGGAGGAAGCAAACGATGCTTCTTATCAATGATGCTTCTTATCAATGATGATCCAACCTTTCAAAGCTCATTTATTACCAGCTTAGTTTTCTATTAACATAGAGCAAACAATCATTTGTATTCATGTGTGGAGCTCATACTTAAAAAGGGAGGTGTGCTGTGTTAAGGAAAGGCTTGTTCCTTGTAGGTGATCTTACATTAGGAAATTATTTAAGTAGCTGATTTTGAGCTATTCCAGTAAGTCTCTTAACAATTTAATTTTATAGTTGTGTACTATTAAAAGTGACCTGCAAAAGGGGAGAAAGGGTAATGGGAGTACTTCATGTAAAATTCTGCCTCTGTAGTTTAGAAGAGAACTGCAAGTTTATTTTTCAAGTCAGTAACTACTAACAGGCTCAGGAGACAGCTGGAAAAATGAAGGTGTTATAAATACCATGATACTCATGGCAGGTGAAGATTGTTCAAAATTCATACCTTTCCATAGTTGTTTAAGCTACTAGAGAGGTTCATATGTGATAATGTTGGGGCATATTAGTGATGCTCTTTCAGTGCCTCACAATTGCAGTTACACGGTGATAATTCTAAGTTTGTTTTGTGAACTTTCTTGAAAAGTCTATAAAAAAAAACAAAAACTCAACTTTGTTGAGGAAGTAGGACCCTCAAAATCTAAAGGGCAGCCTCTTTTTTACGTGTTCTCTTAAAATGTGAGGGAAATAAAAGCAAAAAGAGTAGATGCCTTTTTTTTCTTTTCAGGTCAACTTTTACTAGTAACAGCAAAATCAGTGGGATTTATTGAAATGCCAGTTTCTGTCTTCTGCATGTTTGTATTACTGCTTACTGGGTCCACTGATGAAGCCCACTCCTGCAGGTGTTCATGCACATAACTTACATGCGTAGATGATCAACATAAATATGTGGATACGTTTGCATGGCTGATCAGTAATTTACTTTTAACCTATACAAGAAAAAAAAGCACGTTTTAGAAGTGTGGCTATTTCTCTATGGTTTTGCAGCTGAATTTACTGTGTTCTGTGCAGAATGGCTGTTGATGGTGGGTATGGGGACTCTGGAGACTGGGAAGGTCGCTGGAACCATGTAAAGAAGTTCCTCGAGCGATCTGGACCGTTCACACATCCTGATTTCGAGCCAGGCACTCAAGTGAGAAACACTTACTTTAAATAAAAAAAAACTGTAGTGTGTGTTGGAAAGTAATGTAAATGGTTTCACTAGTTGACCATCAGCAGTATATGAATAGTAAACCTGCATGAAGACTGTGTATTTCAGTTGGTGAGTGTTGTTATTTTAGAAGAATGTGTTGTATTCTTTTTTATATCCTTTTATTTCTAAATTGTAAACTGTTAACTGCAAGCTTGCCATCATGTGTAGAAATGTATTTTATGGTACACAATAATAATTATTCTCCATCTTGGAGTTTCACATGAAAAATAGCAGTGTTTGTCTTTTGATTTTTAAATAATTAGGCACGGTAAAGAATTTATTGTACTTAAAGAAAAAATTAAACTTAATAGGAGTACTTACAGAATTGGGAAAGATATTCCATAAGGAAAAGCAAGATTTAGGCTCTCTTAATTTTCTTCTGCTTTCCTTGCTTTGGTATCTTTTTTTTCAAAGCTTACAGTTGAATATGTTTAACCTTTTAAATGTACCACTCCATTATTTGCTACTTTGACTTTAGTAGAATAGTTAACAGAAAAAAAATTATTTGGCCAGCAGTGTTTTCTATCTGTGTTTATTTTGTATTATAGGTAAAAAAGCTTCTTGGAGGAAAAACAATAAACTGAAACGTATCCTTAAACTGAGTAATAATAAAACAGAGCTTTTTTTTTTTTTTCACAGCCAAATTAATACAAAGTGAATACTGATACCAAACAAAGTCTTGCTTTCCTTTAAGTAGAGATATAGGAATTACATGAACTCAACAAGTGATTAAAGTCCAAGTATAATTACTCCTGCAAGCTTAAACTGTTTTACTGATCTAACTTGTTTTATATTAAGCTTATTGGGCACTGAAAATTTATGATGACACAATAATAAGGTGTACGAAACAAAGGACAAATCATCCATTTTCCTATGTAGTGTATTAATTTCTTGTTTGTTTCTTTTATATTTTCCCACAGGCGCTTGAATTTCTGCTAAGCACATGTAAAGTACTAGTTATTGGAGCAGGAGGATTAGGATGTGAACTCCTGAAAAACTTGGTAATTACTCAGTTTTCATCTTTTTTTTATAATCTCAGTTATTCCTTGAAATGAGCTTGAAGGGTGGTAGTGTTAAGATGTTGTACTTATTTACTTATAACTCTTTCAAAGCTTGTCCTGAGGAGCAACATACTGCTGCTTATGAAGTGTAGGGAAATGTTCATTTACAGCCTTAGGTGTGGCCTAATGTTGGGAATTTTCCCCAATTATGGGACCCTGGGAAATGAACTATACTAAGAGAAGAAAATAGAGAGTTTATTATTAGCAGCCAAAGCTGAACTTAGTTTTTTATGCATTTGGATTAATGCAAAGAGAGGCTGGAAATGCTGGACCCACGCTCTTTAAAAGTGAAAGTAGTAGAGCCAGTCTTACAGTGCCTGTGGTGATCTCCTGCTTGTTGTTGGAATCCATTTGGTTCTCCTGAATAGTGACTCTCAGTAAACATGAGCTTATCTCCAGAGACTTCACACTTTCAGGATTGCATCTATATTGCCGAATCTAGTCTGTGTAAAAAGCTTCTTTATTCCATCAGACCAACATGTGCTATCCTGTATGGAAGTGGCTAAGGAGGAATAGGTCTGAGACCAAAGAAAATACACTACGGAGTTACTGTAGTTTTCTTGACAGCAGCATTAGCTAATAATGGATTCTCTGTGTGCTCTGAGAAGCAATTTTTAAGTGTTTAAAAATGCAGCCATGGGACAGTGTGCTGTCTGACATTTACCCAATAAATATGTATGAATTTAATTTTTCTATTGCTCTATTTGTCTTTCTCACAGCCTTTCTTATTTGTTGTAATATATCACTTACCAGCACTTAGTTTGGACTAACACTATAGTAACTGTAGTTTACATGCTTCCTTCAACAGTAAAAACTTCTGTCCTTACAGT